CCTTGATAGGATATTTGCCTGGGGACTTTTGGTGGTAAAGGGTACCATGCTTAAAATGTTATGAATGTTATGCGTACTGCGATTTTGACTGTACTGGTTGTAAACGCAGTGGTCGATTAAGTCCTTCCAATGTTGTGGGATTATTTACTGGAGGCAATGATGGCAACTCCCTGTGTGTAGTAACTTCAGTACGTCTATTTGATGCATCCCCACTGTCAACCCCTGTAGTTGACTTGTGTTTCTTTTTCTTCTTCTTTTTTTTTCTTCTTCTTGGCGATTTTTCCGGTGATGTATCACTAGGATTCTCTGCGTACTTGTTTTTTGGGTCACTTAGTGGTTCCAAAGCTAATGGCTTCTGGAATATCGGATAAGGGTCATGTGCAGGACTGTCACCATTCATCGTAGGGTTATCTGAAAAATTGTAAAAGAAAGTTGCTTTGAATTATCTAGACTAAGAATAAATAATTTTTGGAATGCCCAGGATAAGGTTTGGATCTTTTTTTGCAGCATTGTTTGTACAATCAACTGTTTTCATGTCAACACCAGATGCCAACATAGGCTTTCTCATACTATAGTTTGATCTACACTCGATACTGAAATGTGTTCACCAGAGTCATTTAAAAAAAGTTATTAATTGTTCAAACAAGCAGCCTCTCGGCTGAGATAGCTCCGCTGTTAGCAATGCACATTTCAATTAAAGAACAGAAGATATCATTAGAAAATGAACAACATGTATAGTATCAAAACAATCAGACTTGCAGTTTTCAACAAGAAGTAGAAAATATCACTTTTAACCAAAAATTACAAAAATATTCATCAAAATTAGAGAATTGAAGATATCATCATGAAATGAACAAATCTGAGAAAGGTACACATGTAGTATCTATTTATGTAATATCAAAGCAATTGGACTTGCTGTTTTCAACAAGAAGTCGAAAATATCACTTTTTACCCAAAATGACAAAAACATTCACCAAAATTAGAGAATTAAAGATATCATTACAAAATGAACAAATCAGAGAGAGGTTCACATGTAGTACCTATATATGCAATATCAAAGCAATTGGACTTGCGGTTTTCAACAAGAGTCGAAAATATCACTTTTTAAGAAAAATATTCACAAAAATTAGAGAATTAAAGAAATCATTACA